GCGTTTTTGCAAGACACAGTTTCACAATTGTTCTTTCGTTGGATGCGTCACAAGCATTTGCCAGGCAAATCGAGCTGTTTCATTGCACGAACGAATGGCCGCAAGGTTTTGGCTATATAGCTGACAGTTAGGCTGGCTTGCGGCATCACAGATGGATTTGCAACCACGGGCAGCCCGTCCCAAGAGGACGTTGGCCGAGTAAGAAAAAATGCTCCGGGAAATTGCAAGTGACAAAGCCTGGAAATCATTGCGCCTTACCTTGACAGGACGGGTTGTTGTGCGGCTCCTTGTGCGCCATGTGGTTCCAAACTCAACACTTGCCATGTTTCTTTCCAGGACTTTGCGCAGCTCAGCCATGATGATTTGCAAAGACTGCATTTGCGACCTGTTGGGGGCAGACCTTCGGATTTCTGCAAATGACGGCGGCGCGGAAGGCGAGACTTTCGCATGAGGAAAATAGAAACAGCTTGCCGAACTTTGGATTGGTCAAACCACATGCGTTTCCTTTGCATGTGCACCATGAATTACACATGTGAGCAAACCGATGCCATTTTGTGGCTCACGCAGCATGGAGACATACCTGTGGATGTCGACTTTGTTTTGCTTGGCGCTAGCCGCAGAGATCGCCAGGTTGTTCTTGGATGATGATGATGATGATGATGATGATGATGATGATGATCGCCCTCCTGACCATGCAGAGATCGAGGAGTGCGTGTGAACTTGTGAAACAGTGGCATCACCGTGTTGAAAGGAACATGTGCCTTTTATATGTTTGTGCGTTCACCGGGCTGCGCTAATCTAGATCCAGGAGGCAAAATTCATGTGGTTCAACTTCCCCGGGCAATTTGGCTGCCAGAGATGTCACTGACGCAGTGACAACTTCTTGGATGCCGAACGAGATCGATGCCGCTCGGCCAGACAGTTGCTACTGTGGTAACACAGTTGATACTGCGCAACACTTTCTGTTTTTGCTTGTGCTACTTGATTGATACTATCTGGTTGCATCGAACTTGCCAAAGTATTGAGTGATGTAATTATGTGTTTCCATTGAGTTGCAAAAAATCGGTCGGATTTGTCGAGGTATTTCATATGTTTTATGGATTTGTCGGATTTGCCCAAGTTTGGTCGGATTTGCCCAGATCTTTCCATGGGTTTGCAAGGTTTCGGCTGTTTCGCCCAATGAATTCCATGGATTTGCAAAGGTTTGGTCGCAATTGCGGGTTTGGCAAGTTGGTCGGATTTGCCCAGGTATTCCATGGGTTTGCCAAAGTTTGAACGAATTTGCCCAAGTATTTCACAACATGTCCATGGATTTGCTAAGGGTTGGTTCGATTTGCAAAAGTGTATCCGCGTATTTGCTAAGGTTTGGTCGGATTTGCTTTAGTATTTCCATGGATGTGCGCAAGTTTGTGCGTATTTGCACAAGTGTTTGCCAAGGTTTTGCTGGATTTGCCCAAGTATTTCGATTTGCTCAGGAAATTCCACGGGTTTGCCAAATTCGCCAAAGCATTTCAATTATTTGCTAGCGTTTGTGGTCGGATTTGCGCAAGTATGAGCTAAGAGTTGGTCGGAAGTGGCCGACTTTGCCCAAACATTTAAATGAATTTGGTCGAATTTGGTCGGAGATTCCTGCATAGTTCCATGTGTTTGCCAAAGTTTGGTCAAATTGCCCCAGTGTTTTATGGTATGTCTGCGGATTTTCTAAGGTTACGTTTGATTCGCCGAAATATGTCCATGGATTTGCCAAGGTTTGGTCAGATTTGCCCAGTATTTCCCAAGGCTTGGTCGGATTTGCGCAGGTGTTTCCATGGATTTGCAAGGTTTCATGCGTTTGCCGCAAGCAATTCCGTGGATTTGCAAAGGTTTGCTTGCAATTGCCAAGCAATTTCCATGGATGTGCCAAGGTTTGGTTGGATTTGCGTATGGGTTTACCAAGGTTTGGTCGGATTTGCTTATGTGTTTCTATTGTGATTTGCGAAAGTTTGAACGGGTGTGCCAAGGTTTGGTTCGATTTGCAAAGGCATCTCCATGTATTAGCTAAGGTTTGGTTGGATTTGCGTGGGAATTTCATGGATTTGCGCAAGTTCGTGCGTATTTGCGCAGGTGTTTGTCAAGGTTTGGCCGGATTTGCCCAAGAGTTTCCATAGATTTCACGGTTTCGTCGGATTTGCTCAACAAATTCGCCAAAGTATTTCCGTTTATTTGCTAGGTTTGGTCGGATTTGCTCAGGAAATTCCCTGGATTTGCGAAGGTTTGGTCGGTTTTGCCCCAGCATTTACATAAATTTCCAAAGGCATGGTCGGATATTCCTATGTATTTCTATGTATTTGCCAAGGTTTGGTCGTACTTGCCCAAGCGTTTCATGGTATGTCCACGGATTTGCCAAGGCTATGTCCGAGTCGCCAACGTATTTTCATGGATTTGCTAAGGTTTGCTCGGATTTGCCAAGGTTTGCTCGGATTGCCCAGGTGTTTGCCAAGGTTTGGTCGGATTTGCCCAGTTGATTTCACTTTTCGGCAAGGTAGTTCCTTGCTAAGATTTGCACGGATTTGGCCAGGTGATTCCGCACATTTGCTGAGGTATGGTGGGATTCGCGCAATATGTTTTTTGGGTCGGATTTGCCAAGGTATTCCATGGATTTGCCAAGGTTTGGTCAAATTTGGCTATGTGTTCCCATGCGTTTGGCAAGGTTTGTGAAATTCTTGGGAATCTGTCCCAAATGCTCTGCGGGACGGAAATAACACAAAGGAGCCACAGAGGCAAAGGCAAGTCCGACCAAACCTTAGCACATCCATGGAACCACTTGGGCAAATCCGACCAAACCTTGGCGCACAAAGGCATACCATGAAATACTTGTGCAAACCCAGCCAAACCTTGGAAAAACCATGCATAAGCCTGGGTAAATCCGACCAAACCTTGGCACCACCAAGAACATACTTGAGCAAGTTTGGCTAAACCTTGGCAACTACTTCGGCAAATCCGAGCAAACCTTCGCAAATTCAAGGAAATGCCGAGGGAAATCCGGCCGAACCTCAGCAAATATTTGGAAATTCCTTGGCAAGTCGGACAAAACCTTGGCAAATCCCTGGAAATTCCAGGAAACATTTGGGCAAATCCGACCAAACCTTGGGAAACAATGCAAATACCTGGACACATCGCTTTGGCAAATCCGACCAAACCTCAGCAAATCCAGGGATAAACCTGGGTAAAGCAGACCCAACCTTGGCAAATTCAGAAAATTCCGGCCAACCTTGGCGAATCCATGGAAATATCATCATGAGGTTTCTAAGGCTTGGTCGGATTTGGTCAGGTATTTGCTGACAATTCGCCAAGATTTGGTAACTATTTGCCAAGATTCGGTCGAAAACGTTGAAACTTCACCAAACAGGTGTTGAAAGCGCGAAAAAAATACATCGAAACTTCAACACGGCTGAAAGCGCATCCAGAAGGCAACAACATTGCGTTACGAAATCCAAATTGCGCGAAAACTGCATCCAAATTGCATTCGAATTGCATTCGAACTGCATTCACGCTGCAAAACCGCATACAAACTACATCCAAACTTCACTCAAACTGCAAAAGGGCATTCAAAACTTCACTCAAACTTCACTCAACTTCACTCAAACTTCACTCAAACTTCACTCAAACTTCACTCAAACTTCACTCAAACTTCACTCAAACTTCACTCAAACTGCAAAACGTCACTCAAACTTCACTCAAACTTCACTCAAACTTGCATTCAAACTGCAAAACTTCACTCAAACTTCACTCAAACTTCACTCAAACTGCAAAACCGCACTCAAACTTCACTCACACAATGTAGTTTTGCAGTTTGAGTAAAGTTTGAGTGAAGTTTGTGAAGTTTGAGTGAAGTTTGAGTGAAGTTTTGCAGTTTGAGTGAAGTTTGAGTGAAGTTTGAGTGAAGTTTGAGTGAAGTTTGAGTGAAGTTTGAGTGAAGTTTGAGTGAAGTTTGAGTGAAGTTTGAGTGAAATTTGAACGCCCTTTTTTGCAGTTTGAGTGAAGTTTGGATGTAGTTTGAATGTATTTTTGCAATTTCAGTGCAGTTTGATTGCAGTTTGATTGCGGATTGGGTGCAGTTTCAATGCAATTTGCATGCAGTTTTTTTGCACCGTTAGTGCAATTTCAACATAGGTTTGCAGCTTTGTGTGGAGTTTTGAGCGCATTTGCTTGGCACATTGAATGAGTTCTTGCTGTGGTTGATGTAGTTTGGTGGAATTTTCAGCGGCAGAGCTTCATTTTGGGCTCATATCCCGCAAAGCCAACCAAAAAAATGTAAAAAAAAAAAACCCTTGAAACCTGCGAGAAAAAAATGAAAATGTCCTAAATCTGTAGTTTCGTGGAATTTTCAATTACATTGAATGAATTCTGGCTGTGGTTGATGTAGTTTCGTGGAATTTTCAGTGGCAGAGCATCATTTTTGGGCTCATATTCCGCCAAGCCAGCCAAAAAAATGTAAAAACAACTTGAAACCTGTGATCAAAAACTGAAAATGTCACTGCCCAAATTCTTACATTGAATGAATTCTCGCTGTGGTTGATGTAGTTTCGTGGAATTTTCAGTGGCAGAGCTTCATTCTGGGCTCATATTCCGCCAAGCCAACCAACAAAATGTAAAAAAAGCTTGAAACCTGTGAGAAAAAATGAAAATGTCCTAAATATAATGCCCAAATTCTTATTTGCCGACTTGTTTAGCAGTTTGGGCACATGTTCCAGTGCTTTTGCGACGCGTTTTTTGGCAACACTGATGCAAAAGTGGGTTTGGATTCTTGTTATAAGCCATGTGCATTGGTATAGTCTTGCTGGAACGCCCTCGCACAGGACACGAGCACTCTCAATGATGGTCGCAGCATGCACAGCAAACACTATTGCAGCATGTCTTCGGACCTTTTCCATGCCAAAAATCTCACAATCTCACGCGCTGTATCATCGGACAGCTGCCGAATCAACAGTCTGTGCGCATGGACACTTAAAAAAAGACACTCACCAGGGCTCAGGTTCTTTGCCGTGCTGGTGGTTCAGGAACCATGTCTGCCTGAAGGTACGAAACTTCACGTGAGGCACGTTGAAAGCTTGGTTCCAATCCCGCGCTTCCACAAAATCAGCGTAGCGCTTGTCCTAGTGACTCTGGACCAGTCCACCTTCTTCTTCTATGGCTGTGCAGAGAGTCTGCCTCATGCACAGAATCTGGACCACCGCAGCATCAACTATCATGTGTATCAGCTGTCAAGCGGCGCGGGTCGGGTCTCCTGTCACAAACACATTTTCTCGCACACACTTGCGAAAGACTCTCTGCCTCATGCAGAATCTGGACCACCGCAAGCATCAACACTATCATGTGTATCAACTGTCACTCTATTTGATGAAAGGATTCACAGTCGCGGCCGACTCCACGAACCTCCCTTTCTTCAGATCAGAAAGGCTCATGGTTGCCGAAACCTTCCTTCTGTCCTCTGACAATAGCCATCTTTGATGAGCCTCATAGTGGCCCACACCGAGCTCCTTCTGCTCGCGCTTAAAGTCCAGGTACATCTCCCACAAGCTTCTCGCCTGGCGCACGGTAGAGAGAGCCAAACAAATTGGACAAAGCTACTGTGATCAAATTGCCAAACATGTTCATCCTTCCTGGTCAGAGTGCCCTCCATGTTTGTTTGGGGGGGGGGGGGGGGAAAAGAGCAAGACAGGTCTTCATTGGCTCGCGCCTGCCCTCGTCTGCCCTCGTCTGCCTTCGCCTTGGCCTTTGCCTTGGCCTTTGCCTTGGGCTTTGCCTTGGCCTTTGCCTTGGGCTTTGCCTTGGGGTCTGTCGGCGGAATCTTTCCATCAGCTTTGGGTTTTTCTTGTTTGCTCTTTTCTTTCTTTTTTTCGGGGCGCCTCTTTCAATTCTTCAAACGAGCTGTCTTCTGAGGAAGTACAGCGTTTTCTCTTCGCTTGCCATTCAAGGTTGTATATTCTCCAAAGACATGTAGCCCTTTTCTATACCATGCGCGCGGCGCAGGTCCAGGCCGTGATTGATGCTATCCAAATAGACCTTGACGACAGCCTGTCGAACAAGGTTCAAGACGAAAATGAGGAGGGGGGCTCGCACCATATGCGAGCCGACTCACGATGACCAACACTCGGACTCAGGGGAGGAGATGCAATCTTTCGAGCAGATGCACGAGACGGCCCGACAGGCCGCCAGCATGGACAAGGAGGCAGAGAAAGCAAACAAGGGTGACCTGAAGACAAAAGCAACATCTTCGAGTCTGGAAGTATCGAGAGTTCATATGGCCCGACCATTGATACTCGATCGCCAAAGTGAGGGTTGATATGGCCCGACCATTGATACTTGATTGCAAACGCGTTATGCCTCATAATTCAACCACAAGGAACCCTGTTGGCGTGTTTCCTCTAGGCAAGTGACATACAGCGCGGGCCATCACAAGATGCAACTCTGGTCTTGAGTGTCAAACGCAAATCTCAGTCATCTCCAGGCCTTAATCTTTTCATCGCCTTTCAACTTCTTGAGGACTTCATCGCAGCAAGCTGATTGCTCCGCAGCTTTTCTATACCAGTAAAGAATCAGACGGAACACAAATCCCACATCCTGACCAATCTCTGTCTTTTCTCGATGTGTTGTTTGTGGCCCTACCGTGCAGCAGCAGTTTGGAAATGGCCTTGTTCACAACTGACCGCAAGAGCTTCGAATTCTTCGCACATCCACAGGTGTGTAGACTTCCGACGTTGCATGAAGTCTCGCAAGCAACTCTCCACGCCATCAACATCAGCGTTTGGGTCTGCGGATGTTTTTTTTGCTGGCTTCTTAGGTGTCCTCAGGGAGGCCTTCTTCCCGGCCACCACTTTGTCCAGCAACGAGGGCCCATCCAACATGTGCGGTTTCAACTATCGTCACAGTATCTACCGTGAAAGAAACAAAAGCTGTTCCACTTGAAAAACAAAACCATTTCTGCTTTTGTTTCAGCCCGCAAGATCACCTTTCCTGTCATGTGTTTTTGTGCAGTTCTTGGGGATCTATATAGCGCCCTTCCAGTTGTCCCACTGATCATGCCGCATCTCCCTTCAAAACCTTTTTTCCCCAGCCCCACAGTTTCAGGACTCACAAGATGACCCTTCTATCGCGCAATACTCAGCTCGCAAGGTGATCGCACAAACAATGAGACTGGCAGTTGTGGGTGACTGGACATGTTGTGCTACATAGTTGATTTATCCCTCGTTGTGTTCCAAATTGAAAAAAACTGGCGCCCCACCTCTTAAAATATGTAGACTTGATGAAGTTTGATGTAGTGTTGATGTGTTTGATGTAGTTTTGATGCAATTTAGTATAGTAGTTTTGATGTAGTTTGATGCCGTTTGCATGCAGCTTGCATGTAGTTCGATGTGCCTTCGATGCAGTTTGTCTGTGGTTTGATGTTTGAACGCAGTTCGGATGCACTTTGGAAATTTCACCAAAATTTACTACACAGAAAATTACTACACAGTGTAGTAAAAATGCTACACATTTGTAAAAAATGTGTAGTAATTTTGTGTAGTAAATGTGTGGACAAATTGCCCATTTTACTACACAACGATTTTACTACACAAAAGCCATTTTTGTGTAGTATTTGTGTAGTAATTTTGGTACGCATGTAAAATGTAAAATTTCTACACTTTGATCCTTCAGGCAGCGCGCCCGCTCAGCCCTGCGCACATGCCTGACAAGTGCCAAGCACACCCGCTCACCACCGCGCATGCCTGCCAAGGCACACCCACTCACGCGCACGCGTGCGCACAGCAGTGGTAAGCAACTGGTAAGCACACCCGTTCACGTGCGCCCGCTCAGCACTGCACACACGCCTGCCTACCAAGTGGTAGAAACACGCAGCTTTGGATTTGGATGAAACGGCGGCGGAATGGCTTAATTAATCCCAATTTGTGGGACAAGGTGCATCAGTGGTTGTATCGGCGTAACACGCGTGTCTGATGACATATGAAGGCGCACGCTGGCCGTCTATGAAAGCGTTGCGCCCTCGGGCGTGGTCGTGGGGAGCCAGTTTCCAAGCGGAATTGTGCTAAAGGCAGTAGTTTACTACTAGTACTAGTACTACTAGTACTACTAGTACTACTACTACTACTACTGCTACTACTTCTTCTTCTACTACTACTACTACTACTTACTACTTACAATTTACTACTTACTACTACTACTAGTACTACTACTACTACTACTACTACTACTACTACTACTACTACTACTACTACTACTAGTACTACTACTACTACTACTACTACTACTACTGCTACTACTACTACTACTAACTACTACTACTACTACTACTACTACTACTACTACTACTACTACTACTACTACTACTACTACTACTACTACTACTACTACTACTACTACTACTACTACTACTACTACTACTACTACTACTACTACTACTACTACTACTACTACTACTACTACTACTACTACTACTACTACTACTACTACTACTACTACTACTACTACTACTACTACTACTACTACTACTACTACTACTACTACTACTACTACTACTTACTACTACTACTACTACTACTACTACTATACTACTACTACTACTACTACTACTACTACTACTACTACTACTACTACTACTACTACTACTACTACTTACTACTACTACTACTACTACTACTACTACTACTACTACTACTACTGCTACAAATGCTACTAATGCTACTAATGCGACTTCTCAAAAAGCATGATGCAACCACAATAGCAACAATAGTGCCAGTTGCCAAAGTCAAAGCAGCCATTGCTTCACACACGGTGCAACTGACATCCGGCCAACCCTTCAACACCCAGGAAGACTGCTACCAGAAAATCACCCCCGCCCCCCCCCCCGCCCCCGGGCGAGAACTCGATGCCTCGAATACGGTGGGTAGAAGAGGTTGTTCAAGAACTTGATGGGCTTGTGAAGCTTCTCCTGCCAGTCGACCCTTTTTGGGTTGACCAATTCCGGTGCGCAAAACACATGATTGTCTTTTGGCGCAACCGGATAATCCGTCAAATAGTACCATGAGGCTTCCAGTTGTCTCTCGCCATAGCACAGACTTGAAGTTCCCACGTCTCAGCAATAAAACGGTACCCCCGAAAACTGGTGACATGACTAAGACATCCAAGACACTAGGGTAAATCGGAACTCTAGACGCGAATTCGGCCTTGACAACAGGAAGTTGCATGATTGGAATCTGTCTACGGCATGACCTTGAATGCACGAACATAAGCAAGAACAAACTTTGTTTGTGTAGGCGGAGCATGGCTTTCACGCTTAGGTTGAAACTCCGGAAAGCTACGTATGTTTGACATGTACATGCATTAAGGCAAAGCGGGTTCTGATGTCACGCCTCTGAAAGGATGCCTCAAGTATCCGCCCAGTGCCCTGGAAGCTTTCTGCAAGGTCCCGGGCGCCCAGAATGGAGCGGTAAACCAAGTACCGACTAAAACCCTCGGTGCAATTTTTGGTGCATATTATGGATACTTTGACATGCACCCGTATGCAGCTGAGTCTGGCTAGGTGGCATGTGCGGAAGAAAATCAGCAGTTCAAGCAACGCTGGCCTTTTCAACTACCCCTCTGATTGCTGTGGATCCAGCATGGTCAAAAAATAAAACATGCCATGTGTAAAGCAAGCATCGCGCTTTCGGCCGCAGCGCTTTCCCGCTGAGCCATCAGAGGGATCTGTGCGGCCCGCCTTCAAGAGCTCATCAAAGGCTGCGCAGGCCTGGCACAAAGAATGGCCCTTTGGTGCGGACGCATTTAGAGCTTCGGGTTGATTCGTGATGATCTTGGGGAATAACATGAACAACACTGCTGCGGGTGAGCACAAGCCCACAACTCTCAGGCTGGCCCAATCCGAAGGTGCCTTCGTCTGAATCTGCGTCTCCAAATACCTGTCAGCAAAAGTCCCAGTGACAAAGCGCTGACACAATTTCCTCCATGCTCTCTCGATGGGCCAGGGCAACAAACCGACCGACCTACCGACCAGAACAACTTCTAATCCCTGGCACACTGCCTGTTCAATGCCTGGCACACCAGAACACTTCGTATTCGAAGCCACGACCAGATCTTTCCTTTTGGGCAGACCTGGAGAATTTGAACATTGGGCAAATTTACCCCAAGGTACCCATCAGGTGCTGTTTGTCGGGCCAAAAACTAAGCCAAAACCAATGCCAACCCTCAACCACTCTAGACCAACCTTCTAAACCACCCTTCGTTTCCTTTCCTCAAAAAAGAAACCCGGAACTGTTCTCAGATCCCCCGCTAAAAATTAAACTTTTAGCGGGTTAAATGGAAATCCCCATTAAACACGAAAAAGCTAGAAGGCTAAGGAACCGGACGGCTGGGAGCCAGGTAAACCTGTTGCCCTTGGTTTCCTCCCAGCCGGTTTTTTTTTCAGGGGTTGCAAAGAAGCCGAGCTGCGAGCTCACATAGGGGGAGAACATCCGCTGGATGACATTGGCCACCATCACGGCCAAGCCCCCGGCCAAGGACACGTCGAAATGCAGCTCCTCACAGGGAGCGGGAAAAAAGCCGAGCCCTCCCCCCAAAAAAAACCTTACTTTTTATCAAGTGGATTTGTCAGAGAAGATACCAAACTTGCTCCTTACCATTAAAAATAGTCTACCCAAAACTTAACTAAAAGTCCAGGAACTCAGGGAGTGAGAATCACCCAAACGTGGAAAACGGGATCCTTGTGAGAAGTGGGATTCCCAACATGGCGACCTGGTATTCCAGCCAGCAACCAACCAACCGACCGACCGACCAACCAACCGGCCACAGCCAACGAACCAACCAACCAACCAACCAACCAACCAACCAAACAACCAACCAACTGACCAACCAAACACAAGCAACCACCCACCCACCCACTCACCCACCCACCCACCCACTCAACCAACCAACCAACCAACCAACCAACCCACCAAGCAAGCAAGCAACCAAGCAACCAACCAACCGACCGACCGACCGACCGACCGACCGACCAACCAACCAAGCAAGAAAGCAAGCAAGCAAGCAAGCAAGCAAGCAAGCAAGCAAGCAAGCAAGCAAGCAACCAACCAACCAACCAACCAACCACAACCAACTGACCAACTGACCAACTGACCAACTGACCAACCAACCAACCAACCAACCAACCAACCAAACCCAAACCCAAACCCAAACCCAAACCCAAACCCAAACCCAAACAGCCAACCAACCAACCGGGCTGTGCGAGCCGACGCAGGTGGCCAGGGCGGGTAAAGGCTTGAAACCAGTCCAAAACCCGAAACCAAGCCTAAACAAACTAGTACTTGAAAAACGAAAAACAAACACGAAGCCCTGAACAGACCCCGAATAGGCCAGACCCTGAACCGACCCTAGACCAGACCTAGTCCCGAGTCAAAATGGCTTGACAGGTGCCGAGAGGCTTCGGGGCTTGCTTGCTTCAGAACCGCTCACGAGAATCTTTGCAAACTGGCTTCGCAAAACAACAGCTCCGCTGTTGTGCTGTGTGCTCATTTTACAGCAATCCGTTGGATCTTGGCTTTACAGGCCTGATTTATCCACATGTCCGTCCTGCAAAGCCTGCTCTGACACTCAGGAAAACAGGACCTTGTCCAGCTAGCCAGCCATCATGTACCGAAAAAAGGAAACACAAGGAAGGCTAACTACTTGAATGGGGCCGAGACGCTTGAGGCGAGGACTTCTCCCCATTTGCCGCCGAGACTCCATGTCGCAGCGGGCATCTTAGCTCACAGAGGACGTCAACCGCTTCGATTGCCGTGCACACACACACACACACACAAACACACCCTGCACCAATGACTCTTGGCCACAAATGGCTCAAACTATGGGCCTTGTTGTACGCCCGAAAATGAAAAGCTCAGCATAGTCGAAATACTGAACTTTACCGAGGCCCCAAAATCGTCTTGATTTGGGCTTGATTTGGGTGACCTGTCCAAGTGGCTTCTTTTTCGGATGCTACAACATGATTGTCCGGATGGATGCAAGCGATTGGAACAAATTCGTTCGTTAGAGCCTGCGGCTTCTCAAAACTGGCGCAGCTCCTTCACAGCAGTTCGCCGGTTGCAGACTAGATGCTTTTGATCCAGCCAATGGGGCCCCAGTGGCGCTTGACCTCCGCTTTGAACCTGCGGGTCAAAACTAAGCAGGACTCACCCCTACAATAAAAGGAGTTGTTGCAGTTTGACGCCAAAATCGTCAGCCATATCCCTTAAAGACTGCCGCAGAGGTGTGTTGAGATAGGGGAAGCTTTAAAGTATTGAAGATGGGGACAAAAACGCGCGCCTGCTGATGGAAAACATGAATGCTGCCTGAAACAGCAGCTTCCCGCGCCGGAGCAACTGCTGTTCCGTGCATAGGGAGCAAACTTCAATCTTCACGCGTCTGAATGCAATTTCGATTGAGTTATGCATATGATTGTGCAATTGACGAGCCTTTGGGCCACTCTTGAGGGTGTTCTCCGTGAGAGATAATAGCCATATACATCGCGAACAAGACTCCCTATGTTTGATATCATGTGAGTCTTGGTCCCAGAAAGAGAGAGAGAGGGAGAGAGACACAGATACAGATACAGAGACAGAGACAGAGACAGAGACAGACAGAGACAGAGACAGAGGCAGAGACAGAGACAGAGAGCGGGGGAGAGGTCAAAATACATGTCCTTTGTACCTTGTTCTTATTAGCTCCAGCTTGAGTCTACTTGTGACAGACAGAGCTACAAAAGGCGCCATACGGCTATGCAGTAGTCCAGGCTACTCTTGGACTGCTTGAGGTTCAGTTGGCCGTTGCGTGTCTTTATGTATGTACATATATATATATACAT